ATGTTTATGTTTTTTCTGCAAGATATTTTTGGCGGAAACGGTAAAGCAATGCGGATTGCGGAAGTTGAAAATTTTATGAAATGACATGTTTGCGAAGTGCAAACCACGATTTTTTAATCAAACAAAAATTTATGACATTCGAGTTGCGAGATTTCATACCTACTGAAATTATATGATATTAGAGCCGCGATATTTCAGACAAAAATAGGACTTTTCCAGACTAGTGATGACATATTACCATTTGGTACAGTTCACGTTTGCGGCAATCCAGGCAATGCAGTGTGGTCAGCAGACACTTAGGATAACAGCATGTGTAAGAAGTGATGGTATGGGTTATAAAGCATTGGAGAACAACGTATTAACTCTTAACTACGTCTATGTTGAGTAGAGTAGCAGCTTGTGTGTGCTGAAGCAGTATTGGTTTAAAGTTTTTTGTGGTGAGATAGGTCAATTGACTACAGCTGCTTAGGTGCCAGGATGACAATATCTATAGCATTTAGATGGTTGATGTTGGCTCCAGGGCTGATTTGAGCGTTAATTTGCTGGTCTACGCCTGCGCACCCCTTCTGAAGTCAGAAGACAGGGTGCTCTCCTTAATTTCGCCTCTTATGATGCGACATTCTCGAAGTTTGCAATGTTGCGTTATTGATTAATTCTTAGGTTTCCTAAAGTTCAAGACTACAGCAAACTTAAATTTCAAAATTGAAATATACGTAAGATTTAATTGGGCTTAGGAACTTACTAACGTCCATTGTCGACCGCAGCTCAAACCAGAATCCTCAGCGGTATAATCGAGCTGGGTCTGGCGTGCTATTGTTGCAGTCCGCAAAACTGTGGATTGTGATTTAACCCTTTACTGCCCGAATTTGGGTGGATAACTAGAGGTCAGCTAGGGGACGCAGTATAGACCCCTACATAGCCCTTGCCCACAATTCAATATCTATTCCTTTCCGCTCGTAATCACGCTAGAGGGCATATTAGCCTGTGTGATTAAGTGCCTTGTGATATGCTATTGCAGTGTCTGCTTCTAAAATTACGGAATCGCCGGATTCCCCGCCGCTTTCGATCGATTCATTATTCGCCACATGTTCCGCACTTCAGCGTCTTCAGCTTTTAAGTGCGACCTTACTAAGGGTCTCTATGGGTAGAAATTATTAGCACAAATCATTCACCATTATGGGTAAACCCATTAAATAGAAAAAATACAGCCACCAGAAAAAAGTTAAATTAATTATCAGTTCTCATTTTTAGCCATTGGCGAACTCATGAGAACTCAGTTCTCATAGGCGAACAACAAACATTAAATTAATAACATATACTGTAAATAGCTTCACTGATACATCATACATGATGATGTATCAGTGTTACATAAAAGTCTGTAAAGACGATGTTGCCATAACATTCCACTAGGAATTTATGATGACAGCCATGTCTAGACATATTTTATTTACAAAAGATTTCGCACAACTATTTTTCCATTAATTAAAATGATGAATTATTTCTTATAATGAAATAAATTTGGTGTGATGAAATTATTTCTTACTCCTTTCATTAACCATAGAACCTCTAATAACCCTATCGGCGCACTATTAGTAGGTATATATTGAACAAGCAAAATCTGCTATCTTGTTAGGCTTAATACAAAAACGGTAAACAGATTGAACTTTTATTGAGGAACTTGATCCCATAGATGACTGGTCCCAAGCTTGAGGAATCAAGACGCGTTCACAGAAATTAGGAAGGAACCAAGGCCCAAAAAATAACGCTTGCTAGCTGGTTCATACAGGCTCGCCGACGTTACACAAATGAAATAGCAGACGAAATAGCAGTCTTGGCCTACATCAAAAACAAGAGTAAGAGGTTCAGTAGGTACGTCCAGAGGAGAGTGGATCTGGTTCGCAACGCGCGTCAGCCTTCAGACTGGATCTACGTAGACACCGCCTCGAATCCAGCAGATTTTGCAACACGACCGACCGAGCACGTTCCGCTGCAGCGAACTATGTGCTCACGGACCCTTCTTTCCTCATGACCTCAGTGGTCCCTCGCCCTGACCTCGAAACCGACCTCGATCTAGGCGCGGAGGAGCTCCCAGAATTAGAAAACACTACGGCTTCGACGCTGCAGACTCGTAAGTCCGAGGATGATCAAGTTTTTCGACAGTTATCGGGCTAGTTGAGCTCGTGGACTGCAATGTTTAGAGTAGCCACTCGAGTCATCATCATCAGCCGCCTTTGGATGCGTCGCCTGAAGCGCGAGCCCGGTAAATCCGATGTCCCGACGTCCAGTCCCGACCTTGGAAGGTTGGCTCACAACTTGCTGGTAAGTGAGGCTCAAAGACAAGACTTCGGCGATCTTATCACTCTTCTGGCCAACGGCAAACAGGTACGACCTCATCATCGACTTGTTAAGCTATCACTTTTCCTCGACGAAGACGGCCTCCTGCGTGTAGGTAGGTGGTCGGCCAAAGCTAGCAGACTTAGGGTGGGATATAAAACACCCTATCCTGCTGCCCGTCGGTCATCCCGTAAGTACGGCTATTTTTCGACACTACCATTCTAAGGCTAAGCATCAAAGTCGACTGGTAAGTCACGCAACGGTTCGAGAGGGCGGTTATCATCTCGAACATGGTAGAAGGGCCGTTACCCGATTCATCGGTAGTTGCGTTATATGCCGTCGCCTCCGCGCCCTCCCTCATAACCTCGCATGGCCGATTTGCCGGCCGAACGTACATCACCTGCTCCTCCCTTCACTGCCATTGGCATGGACGTGTTCGGCCATTGGTGGATAAGCAACGGGCAATCGACTCGCAGAACCTGCTCGCGACGGAAGTGCTGGGCGCTTCTCTTCACCTGCCTGGCATCTCGTGCCGTGCACGTAGAGTGCCTTCCCGCCTTGGACGCCACAACGTTCATCAACGCCTTCAAGCGCTTCCTGGCCCTAAGAGGCCCATGCAACTCGGTGCGCTCAGATCGTGGCTCAAACTTCATCGGAGCCAGGAATCAGGCGTCCGAGGTCAACCTGAAGCAAGTGACTCGCACTCTGACCGACCTAGGCGTAACGTGGAATATGAACCCGCCACACGCGTCACACTTCGGAGGCGTTTGGGAGCGCAAGATGGGTCAAGTTCGACGCGCTCTGGATGCCGCCATTCTCGCCACTGGTAACCGAACACTGTCGTACGACGAGCTCAACACCTTCCTACAAGAGGCAGCCGCGATCGTCAACGCGAGGCCTCTGTGGGACGCGCCCTACGAACCTACTGAAGCTGTGCCGATCACACCGAACATGTTGCTTACCCAGAAGTACGGCAACGTCGAACAACATCCTGAACTCACTGAGAAGGACGCCCTAGCCTACGGTCCGAGACGCTGGAGACGCGTGCAGCTGATGGCAAACTATTTCTGGACATTATGGCGTAAGAATTATCTTCTAGATCTGCAAACTCGGAACAAGTGGACGACATCGGCGCGGGAGCTTGTGGTCGGCGACATTGTTCTAATTAAGGAGAAGAACGCCAGCAGATCTTCGTGGCCTGTTGGGATCGTCGGTGAGACTCATCCGAGTCACGACGGCGTCGTCAGGTCTGCCACCGTGCGCTTGAGCCAGCGGGAACTCAGCGAGCGCGCACGACGCTGGGTCTGCCATGCACCGATCTGGTGCTCCTACAGCGCGCCTCGGAGAAATAAAATAGTCCTAGAAAATCGGACTGGTGCCCGGAGGGTCGCGTTTATAAAATAAATATTAACGCGAAGGTACAGAAAACGAACACTTTTCGCCAACCCGAGGATTTTCCTGTGAGTCGGAAACAGAACCGACGCTAACATTCAAAACTGAACGTGCTCTACCGCGGAAGAACGCTGCAGCTCTTTTCGTGCCATATTTGCGACGAAATTTTTGTTTTTTAGTGTAAAAAATCATACAAATTGTATCTAAAACTCTTGTATTGACATCCAGTATAGGAGCGAGAACATTTATTTGTGAGACTATCTAAACCGTGTTATATTAAATCGAAAGATCGTGGGTCACTGTGGCAGTCATTTGCAAAAACGTGGATCCCAAGCTCGTGTGAGCCTGCGAAATTTAAGTGTAAAAACAGTGCCCGATTGTTCTGTACTATGAGTTTATCAATAACGGTTTACGAGTTTATTAATAACAGTTTATCTGTCTTATTCGTCATACTCGCCTGACATGTTTTTCCCTTAGTTGAGTTGGAGCCTGCTTGATCAGGTCATCAATTAGTTCTGGGTGCCAATGAGGCACATAATGTGTAGTAGATCATAATTCAATAAGTATTAGTTGCATAAATCCAGTCTGAATAGCTAGCTAGTATGAATTATGTTCGAACTTTCAGTGAAAATAGCTAGGCCGTAAAATTGAAGGATTCCGGAATTTAAATTGCTTATCTTGCTATCTTGTATTTTACAACGTATGACGAACTCTGTGTTATTTTGCGCAGGACGCAGGTATTAAAAAAATAAAGAGAAAATGTTCAGTTCAACTTGCGTACGAGCATGTTGGGCGTTTCAACTTGCGTACGAGCGGGATGGGCGTTTCAACATGCGTATGAGCGTGTTGGGCGCTTCAACTTGCGTACGAGCGGGGTGGGCGTTTCAAATTGCGTATGAGCGTGTTGGCATTTAATTAAACTTGCGTACGAGTGGGACGAGCGTTTCAACTTGCGTATGAGTGTGTTGGGCGTTTCAACTTGCGTACGAGCGGGATGGGCGTTTCAACTTGCGTACGAGCGGGATGGGCGTTTCAACTTGCATCCGAGCGGGATGAGCGTTTCAACTGGGTACGAGCGGGGTGGGCGTTTCAACTTGCGAACGAGTGGGTTGGGCGTTTTAACTTGGGTGCTCGCGTTTTTAATTAGAAAGTTGTTTATGCATTCTATTGAAAAATTAATTTATATATACCTGCAACTTGAACGTGACTTGTACGAGTAAATGGCTGAAGCAATGCCATTAATGATTGGATTCAGCACGTGTTTATGTAGTCATAATAGACTTTATTTCTCAGTGATTGAGAAGTATTTTGTAGAATTTAATTAAATTATAAACTAGGCTATATTTTTCACTTCATTTCCGTCATTTTCATCCACCATGCAGAGTCATGACGGGAAACACTTTCAGCTGGATCGACGGCATTGTATTAATTCAACCATGGATCGACGGTAATATAATTTACTGAAATCATCCGCCAATTCTATCTTGGTGCATGAGCTCAGCTGCTAAAGTTGGGGTCGGTAGCGGAATAATTAACTACGGCACCTACGCTAGGAACAGCTAAGTGTGCATCAAGAGACCAGGCAATTCAGGTGATGGTCGGTCTGTTGAAGAAGTCAGGAAGCGCTCATAGCAACGGGTTTCACAACCGGCAACGAAACAGGCTGAAACTTCTTTGAATGTTCGCATATATGGCGCCAGTCGCAAGTTATTATGTATGTGTACGTTCTAAGATGGCCTCAAATCTTTTATGGTTAACAGTTCTTGAATGATCTCTGCAGATATAAGTTCTCCATTCCCAATTCTGAAGCATTTATTAACCAGATCAATGTTCAAAACACGCCTATTTGTCATAGACAACCTCTCTTAATGAATCTTATCCTCATGGCTTGAGTACAGGCTGCGGTCAAGTTATAATCCCTTTCAAGGCTGAAGACTTGTATCATGATTAGCATTTAAAACATGTCAGATAAATTGATTGCTCTATGTAATCTTGAAGTATTGAATCCCCTACATGTAGAGCGCTCAGGGTTCACGCCTAAACCGTGTACTTACTCTACATGCCTCTTGCATCTCACTGCCACCATTATTGGCTAATGAATCGAACATTTACGTCTTGTTCATGAGGTGCCAACGCTTCTCTGTGTGAGGGGTGCGTGCGGCCGCTCAATTCCATGATGATGACATGCGAGGAGCTATTCGAGATATGCAAGCGATGCGCGAGTGTCACATTTTATTGATTAATGTAGGAGAAACCTATACCTATACGTTATAACATAAAACAAAATAAGCCAGAATAGAATTACACAAATCTGGTAAAAATGTTCATACCATTGTAATATAGGCATCAATTCATACGACCTGATGGGAAAAGTAGGCCTCCAAATCTAGTCCTGCAAAACATTTCGTAGATCCGTAAAATTGAACGTTCATCACTCACTTTTTCATAGCCAAGAAATTGCAGGAATAACTGTACTTAAAAATAGACCATGCTCTTACGTTGCTGACTTGAGATCTTGACGCGTGCGGCGTGAGACGAGCACTCAAGCGGCCGAGCCTTGCGACCCTCCTGTGATTTGATGGCGTTGTTGATGTTCATTGTTAATTAATGGTTACCTTCAGTCATAGGCTTTTCTTAAAACCCTCACGTTTTTCTTAATTAAAATTGATCCGTGGTGAACCCGCAGTATTTGATTCTTTGAATATATTATAGTCTTCATCTTTCGTCAGATAAAAGTCTGAAATAACGAGATGCCATAGGGGAAATCAGGGACATTTTCACGTGCACTTCCACATTTAGGAGTAGATGAAGACCAGGAAGTCAATGCTCTGAGTGCTGACCTGGAGGGTTACAAGACAATAACTGGCTAGGTTTTTCCGGCCGCCGGACGGACTCCAAAAATAGAAAAAACCTATTGGCTATTTTTTTTTCCGGCCACCGGACGGACTCCAAACATAGAAAAAACCTAGCCGATCAACGAAAACCTCGCTGGTTAGGTCCAGTTAGGAACAGGTTCCATTAAAAATTTCCAATGTCGACCGCCATAAACGGATTTCAGATTCTTAACCTACACCCCAAAAAACATATAATAAAAAAACATCCTTTTTTTAGATGCACTTAATCTAAAGTAATACCAATATAGTTAACCCTTTTTATGAAATAAGCTCTGTCTACTGACAAAAAATTTTTTGGCCAAGTTTTGTGTATGCAGGCAGGCAACCTCAAGTAATAAGCAACTTTTTAGATATAGTCCTAATAGGCATTCCTACCTGCTACCATCACTGCCTGACATGTATTCTAAAATGGGGTAAAAATGGACCGGACATGGGGTAAGACGGGACCACAAAATGATCCTGTTTTACCCCACAAGTGGTCCTATCTTACCCCACAAATGGCCCTGCCTTACCCATAAATGGTCCTCTCTTACCCCATAGTTTATTAAAAATAGCTTTTAAATGAATATATATGGATATGGTGCGTTTGTATTAGAGTATTTTGGTCAAATGGAACATACATCTTTAGCTCAAAATAACCATTCTAACTTGTTAACTTTTTTAATTAGTAGAGAAATTTAGCATACTATTGTAAATTGCATCAAGGGGAAGAGAAAATATGGATGTTTCTTCCCATTAGCATTAGTGAGCTGCAGAACTATGTGCAAGAGTGGTTGAGGGAAAATCATTGTGTGAAACATAAGAAATAATTATTATCACAACTTTGTGAGAGGGCATGGGCTATGTTTGAGGAAGTGCACCACAAATACAGTTAGCAAGAAAACACATGACGTCTGACACTCAAGTTATTATCCATTGGTTTTATTGCCAATTTGATAAATTTTCATACAATGACAGTTATGACACTAACAGAATATTCATGTAGCATTTAGGTAGCAGTGCTCTGTGCTCTACAACGAATCAAAGCCAACCTACTATTACTATGCTTAACCCTTTAATGACCAAGTGTACCATACAGTCACCTTTATTAATTTCAAACATGCTCTGTAATATTATTGTCAAGATAATGAATTGGTGCTACTGTAGTTGTTTCAAATGTGTTAGATAACTTGATAAGCATCCCTGCTTCTTTTTGGTGGTGCAACTCTACTCTTTGCAACCAACTACGCCGTGCGGCGTGCAGTACAGTGCTGTATCTTGTTGGGAGTCCATGGTGCCATTTAAGGGTCATTCCACGCCAAGTGGTCTAAAATTGAAAAAAGTTCCCACCATCATGTCACCAATTTTCTTCAAATTTTAACTGTAGCACGAGTGAAGTCTTGAACCAAGTTTTCCCAAAATATTAGGTAGGCCTCTAGCTGCAATAGTTGCTGATCTAGAGCGGCAGAGCCCCATGTCTGAAGGGTAGTGTAGTCAGTCCACGTGCGGCATGTGTGCACCATTGGACAAAATGCCATTTTTGGGGTCCAATAAAATTGAAACTAATTTATAAAAATATGTATAGTATGTATAATGAGATCCTGTACAGTTTTTGGTGCTGATTCTGATAAAATTACTTTTAACAATCCTTATGCAAAATTCAGCCAAACAAGTTGACTCAAAATGTACCTCGAAATTTGTTTTGACTCAACACAAAAAATTTTGACCAATATTTAGACTACAGCAATTTCCTTGCTGATCAAGATATGGACTGGAACTTTTGAACAATCTTTATACTTGTGCTGGAGTCTGGGAATAATAGGTATAGCCAGATTTTCAGCTTCCCAGATCCTATAGCTGTCCTGCAAGATCTCTTCAAAGTTGTCAAGGTCAGCACAAATGGTCAAATTTACCAAAGTTCAAAGCCAGTTGCTAAAAAATAGTCAGCCCTAATCTGCTTGTGCATAGTATCATCTAAAAGAGAAAATCTTACTCTATAAGACCTATGTATTCTTTTTTTGCAATGCAACCATTAAG